CCGCTTTTCATGCACCTCTGGCCCTGAAGGATTGCCCAGGCCATAGTTTGCGGGGGAGGGTCTAAGATTGATAAACATGGAAAGGATTCCCTTGAAATTTAGGGACCAGGCTTGGCTCGCGTTCCATGGCAGGCTATACGTGAGGGGGAACTTGAAGTACCGTTCTCCAGATGACCGTGGTTGTCTGAGGACGGAGTATGGGGGTGAAGTAGAATCCATGGACCACTTCTTGCTTCAGTGCCCCTTCAATATAGAGGTATACAAAGAGGTGGGGAGGGCTCTAGACATCCCTTTCCTGCACCGCATGTCTTATGCGGAGTGGGTATATGGGGCTTTTGAAAGACATGTGGGGTTTGATTTTGACACTCTTTTTTTTAGTTTGTCTAGTGGTCCAATATTTCACCTGGAACGCACGGTGTCAGGTCTCCCTTCGGCAGAAAGTCCTTCCTGTTCTGGTGGTGGTGAATGACATTCTTGGTGAGGTTGGGAAAATTCGGGGTCTTGAGAAAGACAGGCTGCGGCGAAGGGCCTGGATAGAGGTGTGGAGGAATATCAGGTCTTTAGTCGCAGTCTGTTGATCTCTGGGTGCTGATTCTGTTCTTTCTTTCTTCCTGTGTGTTTTACTCCCCTAGATTTGTGAAGAAGAATTTTGAAGAGAGGCTTCGTGCATCCGAAGATCTATGTTTCTTAGCCTTGGATTTATGTATTGTTACTGTTATAGTGTTATAGGTAGCGCCTGAAAGGCGCCAATATAGCTATTTAGTATAAGGCCATAAAGGCCTTTTATTTTTATTTTTTTCTGCTGTTTAGGCTCGTAGAGTCATGTTGCATTTTCCTTTACCTGTTATTTAGCCATAAAGGCTTAAAATTTGTGTTTGCATTTCCTTTTATGATATGTTTTCTTTCATGGTGAAGTAACCTTGTGTAATTGTATTTAAGGGCATGTATTTATTTATTTTTTTTGTATTTTTCTAAGAAAATGTATGCTGGTTGCAAGATTTATTTTCAATAAAAAATCTCCATTCCTGACACCGTGAGGAGAGGCTGTGCTGGACTGTGCTCTGCTAAGCCCCAGGTAAGCCCGAGAAGCCTGGGGCTAAAGTGCCCTGCTCAGGCCCAGGGAGGATGGCAGTGGGAAGCCCCTGGAGGAGCCTAGTACCGGCCTTGAATTTCCACCTATCGAGGACCTGGGAACGGCCCCAAAGAAGGGGGAGGACTACAGAGCTTACAGGGACCGGGTGGCAGCCCGAGTCAGGACCATCGAAAAGGAGGAGGTGAAGCTTGGGAAATTGAGCTTGGAGCTCAAGAAGCTCCGCCAGACCTACCAGCGGGTCTGGAGCTCGAAACGGCAGGCCTTAAAGCCAGAATTGGAGGCCCTGGAGAAACGTGTAGCCCTTCAGGGCAAGTAAGTGGCGGCACTAAAGAAGAGAAGCGGTATGCTCCGTGAAAAGTTTTTGAATGAGGCCCGCTTCAAAGCGGCAAGGAGTAAGAGTCAGGGGGTGGCGAGAGGTCCGGTGGAAGAGGTCTCCTCCATGGAGGATTCTGAGGTGGTGAGCGGTGAGGAGCTGAGGCGGGGCAGGCAGAGCCTGCTGCACCTTCTCCAAAGATGGCGGCTATTGATATGGAGGATGCCGAAGACGCGGGGATTTCGGAGTCCTTCCCACTCGGGCAGCGCTCTGCCAATTGGGGAACCTTGGTGGAGGAGGCGGAGTCAGCAGAACCGGCTGGAGCTCTCAGTTTCTCAGAGGAAGTGGAGGTGGGTCTACAGGCACGTCACTTCCGGTTCACGTCAGAAGAGTCAGGGGATGATAGAGATGACGTCATGCCACGGAAGCCGGCGAAGGTGTTTGGTGTTAGTCCCTCTGAGTTCCCCGGTTGGGGTTAGAGTGTCCCCCCTGTCGGGATGGGCTCCCAGCTTCCATGTCCTTTGGGTTCTGGTATGTCTGAGTCGGCCCAGGTGGGCCCTGTACTCCCTGTTGTGGCTCCCCCCATCCCTGAGCCTTCTGTTTCTGGGGCCCCAGTGGCAGGTATTCCGGCAGTACAGCCTGTGAGTTATTCGGCTGAGGTGAGAGGTGGCCAGGAACGAGCTAGGCTGTTCCAGGATCGTGCGGGGAACCTGCCCACCTCGGCAGCACGTAGGAACGTGGTCCAGCTCAAATGGACCGGGGAGGGCCCCCCATTAAGCGTAGGGGGGTAATAGACAGGGTGCTGGAGATGGGCTTTAGAGCGGTAGATATCTATGCTTTCATAGCCCCTGTTGGAACGGGGGAGTACGATGTTTTATTCATGCGGCCGGAGTTGCTAGACTTATTCTGGCAAAAGTTTGAGGGGGGGTATGCTCAGAGCCCGAGGTGGGCTGGTCCTGCCATAAAACTCATTTCCAGGCAGAATGTTATAAAAAAAGTTACCATCCTGGCCCGCAACGAGTCAGTGCCGGCGCCTGACATCGTGGAGTGGTTGGGGAGGTATGGGGACGTTATGGGGCCCCTGCACAAGATCCTTGATGAGAGAAAGATCTGGACGGGCGGGTGGACGGCCACGGTGCGGCTGCGAGTTGAAGGGAACGTGTTGCAGCACATCCCTTCCTCTGCCTTTCTTGGAAGGAATAGGCTAGTTGTTTTTTATGCAGGCCAGCCACGGGTGTGCCACTGCTGTGGTAGCAAGGGGCATTTTGCGGCCATGTGCCCGGTAGTGCGCTGCTCCCTGTGCCAAGAGATTGGGCACTTGGCCAGTGACTGTAATGAGATAAGGTGTAACCTGTGTGGCACCCTTGGCCACTCGTACAACCAGTGTCCCGAGGCTCTCCGCAGCCTGCCAGAAGGTGCGTTTGAGGCGGAGTTGGATCGGATTGACGCTCAGTAGGCTGAGTTGGAGGCAGAGAGGAGGGCTGTTTCAGCTCCGGTGGCGGAGCCGGAAGGGGGAGGGGAAGTCTCTGAGGCCCCTTCGGTGGTAGTTGCCCCTGGTGAGTCTATCCTGGTCCGGTCCCCTGTAGTCCCTTCTCCTGTAAGTTCCCCTGCTGTGTCTGCTCCCCCTCCGGGGAAAAGGAGAAAGTTGGTGGAGGGGGGCAGGGGAAGTGGCGCCTAGGTCAGGTCAGGCCAAGTTAGGGCCTTCTGTGCTGGCTCCCCCAGTTCTCCTTCCCCTCAGGTGGGGTAAGGCCCCTAAGGAGTGTCCCCAGGTGCCCAAGGTCCTGCTCAGGGTGGGCAGGATGGGGCTCCGGCGGGGGATGGGTGGACAGTGGTAGGTAAAACTAAAACTGTCGTCTCTTCTGCTGGGTCGGTGTCCTCTCTGGAGGTGGAAGATCTGACCCTGGCTAACAAGTTTGGGGCTCTGTCGGGGGGAGGAGGATGGGATCTCTAGTGACCCAGCCTCCCCGATGGAGGATGAAGAGGCAATAGGCCCAAGGACAGGAGGGGCTCCAATGACAGGCTGGGATATGACAGCGTTTTTCTTAACGCTATTGTCAGGGAAGCAGGTCTGGTAGACGCCTGGATTAAGCGCGACCCGGACGGCACCGGTTTCACTTTTAGGAGAGGTAATAGTCAGAGTAGGATAGACAGGTTTTTTTTGAAGGAGACTCTGCTTTCTTGGCACCTGAGTGTCGGGCGGTGGAGTTCTCTGACCACCTTATGCTTACTGTGGCTTTGAATCCTTCAGGCACACCGCTGAGAGGGAAGGGCATCTGGAGATTGAATTCGGCTCTGCTGGAAGGTGAGGAGGTGAGACGATCCTTTGAGGAGTTCTTCCAGGCACAGGAGACCGTGCTGGATTTCTGCAACAGTAAGTCTGAGTGGTGGGAGCTTACTAAGGTGCGGATCAGCAGGTTTTTCAAGGCCGTAGGTAAGAAAAACCAGTTTAATAAGTATAGTGCCTACCAACGGTTGCGGAGGAAACTCGACCGCCTTGTTTCTAGCGGTCAAGCTAGGAGGTCAAGCTTCTCCTTAGGGAATACCAGTATGACCGGCGTGCCTCTTTGGTTCTGGAGAGGGATTATGGGAAGTACCACTCACCGACCCTTTTCAGAACTGTAAGCAAGGCGCAGCAATTAAAACGGTCTCTGCCTTAAGAGATGGTACGGGGTCCCTGGTTAAATCCAGTGCAGGGATCCTGGAAGTCTCTAGGTCCTTTTATGCGGATTTACTGAGTGTGAAGCGCCTCAACCGGACAAGGATGTCAGGTTTTTTTGGATTCTACACCGGGCCTGGAAGGTAACGTCACGCCTGCAAGTTTGACAGAGGAGATTATCGCGGAAGAGGTGGCCAAAGCCATTGACAGTCTGGCCGTTAAGAAGACTCCTGAGCCAGATGGCTTGACAGCAGAGTTCTTTAAAGCCTTTAAGTCCAGCTTGGCGCCTCATCTTGCAGAGGTATACAACTGTTGTCTGAGTGAGGGATCTCTCCCTCCCTCCATGAGACAGTCTGCGGTGATCCTTTTGTCAAAGGGTAAGGATCCTTCGGCTATTGAGAATTGGCGCCCCATCAGCCTTCTCAATGTCGATAGAAAGGTTCTGGCGAAGATCTTGTTCTGGCGCTTGTCGTCAGTGGCAGGTGGGTTGCTTTCTTGTCAGCAGCATTGCTCGGTTCAGGGCAGGAGTACCTTCACAGCGGTTTTAGCTGTCCGGGAGGCTCTGGAACGGTGTAAGGCTGAAGGGGGAAAGTACTTGCTGGCAGTGGACCAGGCAAAGGCTTTCGATCGGGTCGATCATGAGTACCTTTGGCATCTCCTGGACCTGTAGGGTTTGGAGGGGGGTTTCATTGGCTGGCTGAGGACATTACACAGAGAGGCCGAGAGCTTCATGTTGGTGAATGGCGGGGTTGGGCGGCCCTTTGGGGTTGGATCTGGAGTGCGCCAGGGGTGCCCGCTGAGCCCCTTGCTCTATGTCTTTGTCATTGATCCTTTCGTTAGGAGGTTAGATGGTGGGGCGGTGAGAGCGGGGGGTGCCGGTGGGCGCTTCTGGGGATCCGCCTCTGAGGGTCGTAGCTTATGCTGATGACGTTTCTGTCTTCATTTCTGGACCAGAGGAGGCGCAGGAGGTGGTCTCAGTTATGGATCAGTATGCCGAGGCATCAGGTTCCAAGGTCAACCAGGACAAATGTGAAGTTCTCTGGATGGGTAGGGAGGGTGAGAGCTTCTCACTTCCGGACACCTTCCCGATGCCTCAACAGAGTGTGAAAATCCTAGGTATCAATTTTGGCTCTGCTGATTATGGCAAGTCAAATTGGGAGACCAAACTGTCTGATGCTAAGGTCAAAGTGAGATGCTGGAAGGGGTGGCGGCTCTCCTTGAGGGAAAGGGTTGACCTGATTAAGACTTTTCTGATCCCAGTGTTTCTGTATGTCAGCTTCGTCTGCCTCTTGCCAGAATCGCTCTATAGGAGGATTTACAGCTGTTTCTTCCAGATGTTATGGGGGAACAGGCTGAACCTTGTTAAGCGTGATGTAATTTACTCATCCAGGCGGGAGGGTAGCCTAGGTATGGTCAACCCGGTGGTTTTCTTTTCTCTGATGTTTTTGAAACATAACTTTGGTAATATGCTGGCAGAGAGACCACCTGCATGGGTAAGACTTTTTCGGGTCTGGTTTAGGCCCTTCTGAACAGTTGGGAGAGTGGCGGGCCAGTGAGAAGCCTGCGGGTCAAGCATGGTGAGCTCCCGGCTTACGTGGCCCCGTGCCTGAAGTTACTACGGCGGTGGCATGTGATGGTGGGAGAGGTCAGATCCCTCCCCAGGAGGCTCCTGGGTGAGCGGATTGTGGTGTCTGCTTTCCATGCTCCGTTGGCCTTGAAGGATTGCCCAGGCCATACTTTGAGGGAGGGCTTACGTTTATTAAATCTGGAACGGATTCCCTTGAAGTTTAGGGACCTGGCCTGGCTCGCCTTCCATGGCGGGCTTTACTTGAAGTACTGTCCTCTGGATAACCGTGGTTGTCCGAGGTCGGAGTGTCAGGGCGAGGTGGAAAGCATGGACCACTTCCTGCTTCAGTGCCCCTTTAACGTAGAAGTGTATAAACAGGTGGGTGAGGCTCTGGGTGTCCCTTTCCTCTGTTGCATGTCTTTTATGCAGAGTGGGTGTATGGGGCATTCGATAGCCGCCAGGATTTTGATTTGGACACCTTGTTTCTAGTTAGTGTAGTAGTCCGTTATTACACATGGCATGCACGGTGTCAGGTCTCTATCCGGCAGAAAGTCCTCCCTGTCCTGGTGGTGGTGAGTAGCATCCTTGGTGAGGTGGGGAAGATTCGGGGCCTTGAGAAAGGCAGGTGGCGGCGGAAGGCCTGGATGGAGGTGTGGAGGAACATTAGGCCTGTGGCCGCTGCCTGCTGATCTCGGGTGGTGGGTCTGTCCCTAATTTCCTTCTCCTTCACCACCCCCTAGATTTTGTGAGGTGAATTTCCCTTTTTGAAAGGCTGCGGACACTCCGCTCCATTTCTTAGTCTTCTTCAGAGGCTTTTGTATTATGTTTAAGTGAGTAGATATTTACATGTTTTGCATAGGCTTTGTTTAGGCCTTAAAGGCCACAAGTAGTAGTTTATATGGAAATTGTACAAATTTTCTGCTCATGAGGGGGCCAGGATAGGTCCTATGTGGGTATTGCCCTATTTTTTGTTGAGTGTCTGGAATGGCGGCTGCTGTTCCCTTTGCCATAAAGGCCTGTGTATGTTTGCATATGCACTGGTCATGAGTTTCCCTTTCAGGTATTGGACTTTTCATTCCATTATGAGCCATAAAGGTGGGTTATGTATGTTTTTCTCTTCCCAGGGACTTTGGGACTTTTTGGTTCAGTATTATGCTTATGTTTGTAAATATTTATTTATACTTTTTGTAATTTTGTATGAAATTGGTGTTGCTGGCTTTGTATGCTAACAATACAATAAAAATCTCCATTCCTGACACTGGCAATGGAGGATTACCGAATGGTATCGTCACACCACCGCCTGAGCGGGCCAGCACCGGAGTGCCTGTAACTAGCAGAAACTCTCCTCAGATGCAGGAAGCCCTGAAATGCATCCAGGAGACAGATCCTCTGGCCTACTTGCAGTTACTTGACGCCAAGCAGCGGCGGAGAGAGAGGAACGCTAGGCTGAGAGAGAGGAACGCCAGGCAGCGGCTGCCAGAGAGGAACGCCAGGCTGAGAGAGAAACTGATCGTCGGCATGAGCTGGAGATGGTCAGGCTTCAGCAGCAGCAACAGGGTCAGAACCCCGGGTCCTTAGAACACAGGGACGCTACTCTGGCCGTGGGCCCAGCAGCCAAGTTTCCAATGATGGAAAAAGATAGTGACATTAACACGTATTTACTGTCATTTGAAAAAACATGCCGTCAGTACCATGTGCCCCCAACTCAATGGGCTCTGTACCTGACACCAGGGCTATGAGGCAAGGCCCTGGACGCGTTTGTAGAACTGCCAGAGAGGCAGGACGACGATTACGAAGTTTTAAAAGATGACATCATCCGGAAGTACCAGATGACCCCGGAAGTGTACCGCAAGCGGTTCAGGTCCATGCAAAAGGGACCTGGGGACTCTTACACGGATGTGGCGAGTCGCTTACGCACCACATTCCGACAGTGGACTAAGGGACTGAAAGCTGACTCCTACGAGTCTTTAGAAGATCTCATGATACAAGATCAACTTCTGCACATCTTTCCAGCCGACATCAGACAGTTTGTCTCAGAGAGAAAGCCAGCATCTACTAAAGCTGCAGCCGATCTGACAGATGCCTTCGTCCACACACGAGTGTCTGACCATCGCAAGGCTCCTCCGAACGGCTGGAAAGGGGGGAAAACACCCTTAGCAACCCCTCCTACGTCGGTGAGTCAAGCTTCCCCTCCGCCCATACCTGCAGCGCTTGGAGCCAAGCCATCCCTGCCTGACAACCGCAGATGTTTCACCTGTGGGAAAGCCGGACATCTCAGGACGCAGTGTCCTGAGCAGAAGCAGACGACATCATCTGTCCAGTCGGCCAGCAACTCTTCTTTCGTGCTGTTTGCCGTAGGAAGATGCGGGTAACCCCCGCCAACTTGCAGCCAGTCACTGCGGGCAACCGGTCTGAAACTGGTTTCCGGGACACCGGGGCAGAAGTCACCTTGATCTGGCCAGAGGTGATTGAGCAAAGGAACCTTATCCCAGGAAAGTTCCTTACCCTCACAGGAGTTGGGTGGACCAGTTCACGCATACCCTGTGCAAAGGTATTCATAGATTGGGCTGCGGGAAGGGGGATGAGGGACGTGGGGGTCTTGGACGAAATTCCCACACCTGTTTTGTTGGGTGCTGACCTAGGTACTCTTGTTTCCTATTATGCCCCTGCCGAGAATACCCGGAAGGGCCCCCTGGAACTCTCTGGACCTGCCAAGGTACTGTGTGCAGATGTTGTGGCAATGTCTGGGCAACCTGTGGATGGACAGAGGGAGGGGGCTGGGAATGAAGTGGGGCTACAGGATTCTCCATTAGCTAGAGAATGAGAAGAAATCCCCTTGCCTGGGGAGATATCGAACTCATGTGTCATTGATATTATAGACGTGACTGTGGACAATGCCAATGATAATGATGACGATGATGGTAATGTCAGTAATGTTGATGGTAATGTTGGTAACGCTAATGATGATTAAGATGGTCATGATGAAACAAATGATGCATTTTCATTGTTGGGGGTCACCCACAGTGCTGTGAAGGGGGCAGAGGTACAATCTCTGGGGGCTGAGCAAAGGGATGGTCTGGATAGGCCTGTCCCTTGCCCAGGCTCAGAAGATTATGCCTTGATAAGTGCCCAGCCATTGGCCTTGCAGGGTACTGGGCAGCCGGCTGGGACTTGTAGTTCCACGCATAAGGCAGCACTGAAAAGCGATCCACAAAGGAACCTCAGAGGCCATCTAGCTGTGAGCTTCCCTGCTGAGGAGGGTAAACAACAGCTGGTTAATACTTGTAGTCCCACATGCAGGCCAGCCCTGGAAAGCCATTCACACAGGGATTTCAGCCTCTAGCTAGATGTGAGCTTCCCTGCTGGGAAGAGTAAACAAAGGCCTGACAGGAAGAATGGCCTGTCAGCAGGGGGCTGGAAGCCTGAAAGCATGTCATCTGATCTGACCTTATTGGTGTGTCATCAGGCAGACAAACAGGGTGTGTCATCAGGCAGACAAACATGTGTCCTAGGCAGTGACAGCACACTTGGATTGGAAGTGCGAGGGGCCTTATTGGAGTTGATCCTTGGATCTCAGAGAGGGGGCTGCAGCCCTCAGCTCCAATCACCTCTCCTTTCCACTCAGGTCCCGAAGCTGCTGGCAATGCCTCTGATAGATGGTGTCTGGATTCAGGAGAACCCGGGGAGAGCTCACTGTGCGGTTCAGGAGGTAGACGGCAGAATGCATGCCTCCCTCTTGCATTCCGCCAACCTTATCTCCCAGAAGGTGCAGGCTGAATGGGCCAAAGAGACAGAGGGAACAGTGCAGTCAGGAATCCAGAGGTCAGCTCGAGTCTGGGCATCCCCGGTAGTCTCGATCCCCAAACAGGATCAGATGACCAGGCTTTTTGAGGACCTTGGAAAACTGAGCGCCAGCCCTGTGGGTGTGGCACACCCCATGCCTAGGGGCCATGAGGTAATGAAGCATCCGGAAGGTGCCCGCTGTTTAACCATCATGGACCTGAGCAGGGGGTATGGGCCACCATCTCTAACCCAGGGGGCTCAGGAAGAGCCAGCCTTCACTACCCCATGTGGCTTGCCTGAATTCATGGGAAAGCTAGTTGGGGTTGAGAATGCACCAACCACCTTCCCAGGGGTCAGGAATGACCTGCAATGTGGAGTGGAACTGGGTGCAGTTGCCCACTTTAGGGGCCTTGCGGTGTTCGGTCCTGTCTGGGAAGAGCAACTTGGGCCCCTGTCACTAGTCGGGAACAACCTGCCCATGCCTAGTCTGAAAGTCGAGAAGGGTAACTGTCAGAGGGGCATGTCAGTGGTTCAGCTTTGGGAACCACTGGTAGGAAGAGACCCCCAGAGGTCTGGGCATGGGGAGACTGAGGCAGTTGTGGCCTGGCCTACTCCCCAGGCTCACTCACTTGGTTGGCACGGGGCAGTGTTGCTGGGGAGAACAGCTTCCTTTTCAGACGGAACTTGGTTCTCCTGCAGTGCAGCAGTACCAGGTCGACCCAAGGTGAACCTCTGGGCAGAGGTCGGTTGCGTCAGGAGGGGAATTGTAGTTCCCTCCCATGCAACCACCTGAGGGGGGAGGTGTCACGAACGTGCGCACCAGAGGCAGGACACAGCCTCCATTTTGTTAAGAATCTCCATTTTCTCCCCTCATACTTTCCCCCTCCCTCTCTGAGAGGCACAGTGACATATGGCAGTGTATGTGTTAAGTGTCACAGGCCAGAGCCCCAGCAGGGGAGCTATGAGCTGTAGGACTCCCCCCCAAAAGAGCTGGGGCCTCACAGTCCAAAGAACCTGTAAAATGTAGCACCTTGTAAAAGCTACAGCAAGCCTTCCCAGGAGTTCAAAGACATCCCAAGGAAGGCGGGACCAGCTAACACTTTTAAAAAAATCCATTTTTCCCCTATGTCTCATATCTTGGAATATGAGAGACTTACATAAAAACCAGGCATACCATCAGATTGGCCAAGAGGAGGCGAACAGTTTGATAGGTCACTCGCCTTGTCTCGAATACATAGGAGGGAAGCAGAAAAGTAGAACCTCATTAACCATTCAGTGTAGAATTTCATAATTCATATCTAATCAATCCTCAGACATGTTTGCATAATAATCTCCCTGCGGGTGGAATGTCACTTGTACATAGGAAAAGTTATGAGCAAAAATATGAGTTATGAGAGATTCTGGCTTTA